TTCAGCAACATATGTATTATTATGCCAAAAAAACAGCTGCATAGGCTTGTTACAAATTACAGTTCTACATAAGTAAAACAAAAAACAGGGTTTGCTTACAAAAAACACTCTAATCATTGTTCCTATCCAGTTACCTAATCTATAATCATGCACTCAAACTTGATGTTTCAGTGATCAGAAAAATTCAAGCCAATACGATGAACTTGCTCATATCTTCTCCCACAATCAGGGCAGAACATCCTAGAACCTTCCTTTACATAAAGATAAACATCTAGAAGTTTCTTCTTGGATTTGTCACCACAAACAATTGAATCAGAGATTGCTAGAAGGGGAAAAAATCATGCTATCACCCACCCATCCCTGCCTTTGCAACCCACAAGCTGGAGAGGGAGTAGTGCCACGTCGCCTAGCTATTTCTCCTTTTGCACAAAATGACCAAAAAAAAAGGAAAAGAAAAAGAAAACAGTTGTGATGGTGATGACGACGCAATTGTGCTTGGCGATCTTTCTCAACCAACACTGTAGTCATTAAAGGGAAGCAACTCCAAAAGAGGGAAAGCGCATCTTTCTTCCTCACCTGTCACCCGCCACTATTCTTTGGTGATATACACTTGTTGGCCTCTCATTGGTCCCGGCAAAAAAGAGAGAATATATAAAATACTATGGTCATGTTCGTTTGTCTTATAATCCGTACTTTTCAGCTTGTTTTTTCAGTCAGATCAGTATTTTTTTCTCACAACAAATCAGCCGGAACAGTGTTTCGACTTGTTTTTTCAGCGAAACAAATGAGGCCTATAAATTGAATAATGAAAGGGTTCTGAAGTACTCTTAAGGCCATTTGGATGAATACCATCATTTTTTGTGTCATCCAAGTGTGGCAGTCCCTCCGCCGCCGAGGCATACAGGCAGGTCTGCCAATTCAAAATATAATACGTATAATGTAGTAAGATGTAATTTGATTCAGCTTAACTCTTAATTTAGGCCATGTACTATATTCCGTCCTTTTTTCTGTGAGCACGGTTTGACATGGGTTCTCTAATGTCAAATTTTGACCATTAATAATATCTCCTATATTATAATGTTTCATGACTACAAAGACCTTTGCGGAGAAGAATCCAATAACCAAAATTATAGAGTATAGTATATAAATTTAAGATTTTTCATTAATAAAGATTCGCTACACTAAAGCAAAAATTCCTTGAGGCCCAAAAATCGCCAAGAAAAATATAAAAACAACCAAGGAAATGTTTCATAGGGGCTGACCGTCAAGCAATGGTCGCCAAGTATAGAGAGCAAGGGAAATTCAATTTCCTTGGTGGTCCACCCCCCAAGGATAAATTTCTTAGTGGTTTGGCTGCTAAGGTAAATTGGGCCATAGTAGAAGTTATAAAGACTGCGTTCAGCCGGATGCTGCTTCTCACAACAACCAGTCAGTTTCAGCCGTTACACAGTGTTTTTCTCTCACAACAACCAGCCAGTTTCAGCCAAGTTTCAGACCAGTGAACGGGGCCAAAGCATCAAGAAAATTAGTGAACTGTCAAGTATATATTTTTTTCTTGAGGGCCTCAAACCTCCAAGGAAATGTTAAAACCGCCAAGAAAATGTTACAAAAAAAAGTTTAAAATCCTAGAAACCCTACGGCCACACACAACCTTAGCCTTCGTGTGTTGCATCCTTACCACTGTAACTCAAAGTAATATGTGACTAAATGCCTAATGCATTATTTTGTATTCACTTTAGTGAATTTTGTAATGCATATTTGAGACCCTAAACAAATTTAAATGAAAAAAAAATTGAACTGGAAATCTTTGAGTACTACAATTTTTGTTTAGGTCACTTCTCCATCCGAAGTCATTTAAAAAGTTTATAAAAATATTAATCTTCCCTGGCGGTTTATAATAGCACTTAAGGAAATGGTTGTTTCCTTGGCGGTTCACAATAAAACTTAAGAAAAATTACACATTTACTTGGAGGCTAAGGTGAAACCGCCAAGGATACAAATTACCTTGGCAGTTTACTAGACCCCAAGGAAGTGATTAATTCCTTGGCGGTTGGATTTGGCACTCAAGGAAATCATGGACCCCCAAAAAAATTTGTGGTAGTGGCTAAAAAGTTCAATCTTAAATAGCATGTGTGCCTCACTAACAAAACAAGATAATACAGTGTTTGTGGACATAAATCATCATAAGAATACTCAAATGCAAGTGTCCATGCCTAGAATTGTATTTTTTTGACGGAGACATAACACCTTTGTTATCAGCTTGACAAGAGTATTTTCGGCACGAGTTGGGGAGATACCTCCCACTAAAAACTAATGTCTACAAAGGTCCATTCTAAGAAATTCATGCCATCCAGCAGCATGACTGCATTGATTACTGAGATAAGAAAAGAGATAGGCATCGATCGTAGTAGAACTCTTGAGGACGATGTTCTTGTCGCCGTTTTGACTTTGTTTATGCAAAAAAAAAATGAAAACAAAAGAGTGACATGCATGTGTGCTCTTGGTGCGTCCACCACCGTGTCCTGCTCCGTACTGTACTTGTATGTGGCCGTGTGGTCGACAATTTTGAAAAAAAATGGCCATTACCATATGTTGACGTACGTAATACATCGCAGCTGACGTGCACTTTTTTGACTGAACTGAATGCAGCTGACGTACATTGAGAGTTACAACTTACAAGTACGATCTCCTATGGAGCAGGGATGAAAACGGTTCGGAAATATCTCGTATCAAACCGTACATTTTCTACATTTAATCCGATCGAATTCGTATTTTTGGACAAATTTGAATTCGGTTTGAAATTCGGAACACCAAATTCGAAATCGGAACGAAAACGGTTTAGACATTTTTCCGACCGTTTTCTACTTTTCTACTTTTAATTCGGAATATCTCGAATTCGAAATTCGGTTTAAACCAAATTTGGCCCACTAAAAGTCCAACCTTAGAAAAAAAATTGCAGCTTTCTACGAGATCTATAATTTTCTATTTTTTTGTTTTTTCATTTAAAGTCTTTAAGATGATCAAAAAAATTAAACAAAGTTTCAACGGCATATTAATCGCGTACAAGATCTTGTTGCCTTAGAAAAAAATCATATCTTCTTTACATGGTGTCGAATGGAGATACTTTTTAAGAAAGTTGTAGGACTTGTTAATTATTATTCACTTGTTAATTGTTATGCACTTTGTCTTACGGGTCAATATTCCGTATTGATTTTTCGTATACCGATCGTGTTCGACATAATTCCGCTCGAGTCAGTTCGTTTTCGAAATTCTTGATATTCCGTAAGTTCGTAATCGTTTTCGTGTCCGGCTTTACCGCTTTCGTTTTGGTATTCAAATGTAGAAGTAGAAAACGATTGAGAGGTTTTCCGACCGTTTGCCCTGTTCGTTTCGTTGAAATTTGGCTAATGCTGACGCTTATGCTGATTTGTTGTGAGAGAAAAATATTGTTCGGGCTGAAGAACATGGAAAATGAAATTGAAAAAACTACTCCTTCCATTCTAAATTATAAAACGTTTTGAGTTCTCTAGATGTATGAATTTTTACTATGTATTTAAATCTATGTATCTAGAAATGTCAAGACATCTGTAGTTTAGAATAGAGGAAGCACAAGCCAAGGGTAAAAAATTTAGATTAATCATTATAGGAAATCAACAAATGCAACTTAACTTTGACTCATTTTCTAAGTTATCTCAAAATTAAACCCAGATTAGGGGGGTAGCCGAGCGATGCACTCGTTGCCGCGCAAGAAACACTTCGCTTCTACAGCACGCTCAGCTAGTGCTCACTCGGCCACTCTTTTCCCGCCAAAAAACAAGGGCATGTATATGACCTGGCGATCTGCATTTTATTTTATTATTTATATTATTATTAATTAATTAGCCGGCCAGCAGCTAGCTAGCTAGTTCCTTGTTAAGAACGGAAACAAGCACAGTGACATGCTGATGCTGTTACCACGAGTCCACGAGGATGGTGTAACTCCAGTAACCACACCGAGATAGACATATTTTTTTTTTCCTTTGCAAGGGGTTAAAAAAAAAGGAAAACATGTTCTCATCGAACTAGAAACACGTTTTGTTTACCAAACTTAGGGTTGCTTGGTTCCCAGCCAGCGTTGGCCATGCACAGCCACGCTCGGTGTGGCGCCGCTGCAACCATGGCGCCCAAAAAAATGTGCCACTCTCGCCATAATTAGCACACACTAAACGACGAGCAGGAGGAGCAAAACGAAAGGAGAAAAATCTGTGGCTGCCAAAACGTGGACGAGAACCAAACAACAGCTTCGGTTGGTGTGGCGGTCGCAGTTTAGGCGTGGCGTGTTTTGGCTGCCAACCAAACACGCCCTTAAAACACTTCAACAACCACAGACTCTAACAATGTAAACATTTCATTTCATTAAACCACCAATATCCATAACTAAAAATTTAAATGCAGATTTTTTATTTATAAGTCCAGCACTAATATTTATCATAAATAGACCTCCTACAAAACGGAAAAGAAAAGAAAACCGTGGCGTGGTCGGCAACGGCAGCCAATCACACGGGCACGCGACGGCCACGTGTCCGTGCGGCAGCCGCGTGCGCGCGCCCGGAACGCACTGCCACTACCCGGTCACCAAACCACCCCCACCGGTCGCCGCCGGTCACCTCCGCCTCCGCGCACGCACACGCTACACCACGGATAAATAACAATCACCCCCCTCCCGTCTTCGCATTTCTTCTCTTCTCCCCCCTCGCTTGTTCGTCGCGTCCTCCTCCTCCTCAGATCAAGAAACCGTGTCCTACTCCTGCCCCTGGGAACCATCGGGGGATCGATCGCCCTTCCCCGCACCTCAGATCGTCCAACGACGGCGGCCTTCGGAGGTCTCCGTGCTCTTTTCGGCGCGACGGGTGGGTCAGTTCGCGGATCGGGCGGTGTTTGGTTGACGGCGAGCCAGCGGCGGCGGCGTTCGTCTTGGATCGGGAGTCGTTGAGTCGTTTGGCCTGCTGAGAGGTGCGTAGATGGTGGCCGAGGCGGAGGTGATGCATCAGGCTCCCGTGCCAGTGCTGGAGGTGCAGTACCACCGGTGCGTGACGACCAAGGGGGTTGAGGACGTCGTCGGGATGTCCGCGGCTGCGGCAGCGGCGGCGGCGGCGGCCGTAGCCACGCCCGCGGAGGTCGGGGTTGAGGTCGAGATCGAGGTCGCCGTGGAGGTGCCTCTCATGGTGAGTTCCTCATGCTCAGGCTACTGGTGAAAAAAATTCTGTCTCGGACTGGGAACATTTTAGCCTTTCTTTGGAAGATTGCTTGCAAGTTTGCAAATCAAATTTCGTGTCAGGTGTTGTTACTACCAATTAATTACCACTACTGTTATGATACTGTTCTACAAGTGTGTAGGACAAGCTCATGGAGTCCTCTTTCCATCCCCTTTTCGATTTGGGGAAAAAGATCTGCTTGTGGATGCAAAAGGCTGATACACTTGCTTGCCAAAAAGTAGTAGCTCCTTTCTTTCTTGGGGGGAGGAGCTCTAGTGTGGTGGTTGCACAGTTGTAGGCCTCATCAGGGTTCAGAAAAGTGGGTGGTGAATTATTGGACCCATACATATCTGTAGTAGTGTTTGGTGGTGGTTGAGTTTATGCGTGCTTTCGCACTAGTTCAGATTACCAGATGAGTTTGGCTTAGTGGGTTCTTAATCTGGGCATTTATATACTGTGTGCCTGTTACTGCAATAGAAAATTTTATGGTCTACATACACTTCTAGTTTCTTAACCTGATTCAGCGTATAGTGGGTTATTAGTGGGTGAACCATATGCTACAGTCTGTGGCATGTCTCACCTGTTTAGGTGAGTAATTTGTCAACTGCGTAGACCCGAAGAACTTTTTGTGGAAACTGAGATAGTTTGGCCTGGACACAGGGTGCTAATTTTGTTAATTATCGGAGGCAATAGGAAGCAACAATGGGCTGTTCTTCTTACTAATTAGGATGCAACAATGGACTGTTCTTCTTACTGTTTTCTACCATTCAATGATCAAGGGACTAATTGTCTTTTATTTTTTTGTGGTGATATAGCGGTTGGAGCAGCCTGATGCTGCACCAAGTGTGTCTATGGACGTGCTACAGTTTGTGCCCACCATTCGGTCTGGTAGCTTTGCCGATATTGGTCCTAGGAGGTACATGGAGGACGAACACATCCGGATAGATGATCTTTCCGCTCATCTCGGCTCACTGTTGGTCTGCCCTTTGCCTAGTGCCTTCTATGGGGTAAGTCATTTTCTCTGTAAATTACTTCTCCAGCACCTAGTGTTAAAACATTGCCACAACTGATTGTATCCCTCTGTGTTTTAGGTTTTTGATGGCCATGGCGGTCCAGATGCCGCAGCCTACATGAAAAGGCATGCAATGAGGTTCTTATTTGAGGATAGTGAGTTCCCACAAGCATCTCAAGTTGATGAGATGTACCTTCAGTCTGTTGAGAGCTCTGTTCGCAGAGCTTTCTTGCAGGCGGATCTTGCTCTGGCCGATGATTTGGACATCAGCCGCTCTTCTGGAACCACGGCGCTCACTGCATTAGTCTTTGGGAGGTATAATAAACTGTAGAGCAGTGACAACATTTCGAGTCACTTGAGCCACATTGATCTTGTCTCAAACATTCCTGTGCCTTCCCCTCCTTGCAGGCAACTACTGGTTGCGAACGCCGGGGACTGCCGTGCGGTCTTATGCCGAAAAGGAGTCGCGATGGAGATGTCTCGAGACCACCGCGCAAACTACGTGGAGGAGTGCGAGAGGGTCGCCGCATCGGGGGGATACATCGAGGACGGCTACCTCAACGGGGTCCTCTCCGTGACGCGGGCCCTGGGCGACTGGGACATGAAGACGCCCGACGCGTCGGTGTCCCCGCTCATCGCGGAGCCTGAGTTCCGGCAGGCCACGCTGGGCGAGGACGACGAGTTCCTCATCATGGGCTGCGACGGGATCTGGGACGTGATGACGAGCCAGCACGCGGTGAGCCTCGTGCGGCGGGGCCTGCAGCAGCACGACGACCCCGCGCGGTGCGCGAGGGAGCTCGTGATGGAGGCCAAGCGGCTGGAGACGGCAGACAACCTTACGGTCATCGTGGTGTGCTTCGTGTCGGAGCTGGGGTCGCAGCAGCAGGAGCAGCCCGCGAGGCCGAGGAGCTGCAAGGGCCTGTCAACGGAGGCGCTGTGCAACCTGAGGAGCTGGCTGGAGACCGACCACCGCTAGAGGGAGTTGGCGGCGGCAGCTTGAGTGCCGAGGAGGTTGGGTTCGGGATGTGTAAATACTATGCTGACAACACTGGTTGACGCATGATGAGCGCTGGGCCATTTGTTGAGAGGCGGCTGCGGATTACGTAGGCAGGTCAGCTGTAGCAGCAGCCAGCAGTTTTGTAGGTTATTTTTCGCTTCGTTCTTTCTTTCTTTCACCCTTGTTATTTAGCCGTTGATGTTATTGTTAGCAACACCTCTCTGTTGTACATATATGTATTGATGATGTTGATGACATGCTCCATTGCCACTACCTTCTTCCAAGTTGGTTCTGTTGTAATGCTGGGCCGCGTTTAGTTGCCGCCTGAATCGGCGCCGCCTGAAATTCACCAGCACTGTAGCGCACTGTAGCTTTTCGTTTGTATTTGGTAATAATTGTCTAATTGTTGACTAATTAGGCTCAAAACGTTCGTTTCGCAAAGTACAACCAAATTATGCAATTAGTTTTTGATTTCTTCAACATTTATTATTCTACCGCAAGTTTGATGTGACGGGGAATCTTTTTTTTGCGTAGTGCCAAAGTTTGCATTTTTGGGTAACTAAACGAGGCCCTGGAACTGCAGCAGATTGGCCGTTGGCCGTTGGGGCTGCTGAACAGACATGGCTCATACATGAGGCAAAGAGTTTGGGGGTTAACTAGAAACAGTGAACAGCCTTGAGGCGACGTGAAGCCGTAAGATCATGCGTTTCAGTAATGCCAATGGCACCATTGCCCCAACCACAGAGGCGCCTTTCAAGCAAAGTTCCTTTCTATGGCTGGATGTGTTTATACCTGAGCCGCCAACTTCAGTCAGTGAGAAAAGGAGGGCAGAGCGGGCACAGCCACTGCATCTGACCAAGTGCTGAGCATAGTTTCAGGCACAACGATACTGGGCACGCAATTCCGGCGACAAACCGGGTTAGACAAGTCGTATAGGAGACAGGATATGTTTGGCTGCCAAATCCACAATTATTTACGTACTCATTCTATTTCAAATTATAAGTTTTATAATTATACGATATAGCAAAAGCTATTCTCCTTGTACAACTAAAAAGAACAAAGTGTGAACATTTTTTGGTGCGACATTTATTTTGGTTCGTCCGTCTGCCCACGCCTACGATCTCACGACATCTCCCGTATGCCATTCTCCTTGATTGAATATTGCCTGTCATATGATAGAGGAATCACGGTAAAATAGGAAGTAGAAAATTATTATGCTATCCATATACACATTGCATGTTTGCATGCACCAGCATACATGGCAACGAGCAAAAGTAAAGAGAATTAACACAGAATTCAAATTGGCCAACCTCTTTTGGTGCGACTTTTTTTTTGTCGCTCCTCCCTTCCGGTCATGTGATACCCCGCGCGATAGAAAAAAAAACTGCCATCTCTACGATCCCCACCTGCTTTAAAGAAAACAAATCGATTACCTGAGACCACATGCATGGAAGAAAACAATAATCATGCATAGAAGGAAACAATAATCATCCATGGAAACAATAATCATACTTCAGTTAAATTTTTAGCAGATGCAGAGATAGTAAAATGAGAGTTTCTGTCTAATATTTTGGGGCTCTCTGTCACTTCGAAAAAAAAATATTATGTTGTCTCATATGACAAAAATATATTCTATGATAAAAAAAACTATGCATGTGCATGTTCAATACTTAGGTGTACTACATGATGGAGTTAACATGTCGGTTACACCACTTCATATGGTATTGTCCATAATTTGAAAGGTATTAAATTTAGATTGGGTGCATAGTAGGCCACCTAGCTTTATTCTTGCAACTTCTACCTCTTTATGTGTTAGTCTTTGTCGATGGTATAATTTGTTCGCAAAGCTCAAGCAAGATAATTGGCAAAGATCAAGCAAGACGACTCAATGAGATTGTCCCTTAATTTTAGTATTTTCAGCATGCAGACCTGAAATTAAAAAGTGGCTGCTCCTTGAGAACATTAGTGGTGCCAAATAAAAGATATTCAGATTATACATGATGAGACTGGTGAACCTTCTGCAATTTCCTAAACGAATATTCCCCGTAGCAACACAGAATTCGATATATGCCACATTTAGTTATTACTATTAGTTCGCGAACTGAGTTAAATCAAACAAAACCTTAACTGACATATATTATATGTACGAATGCAGCCAGTTCTCTCATTTTATATTCAACTAGGTAGCGTGCCTGTGCGTTGCTACAGGACAACTAAATCTTTTGTACTAAAAACACACGGATCGCACGATAAGATATCAATATTGTTAAATTAAATACCGACGTTAAAGTGACATTTAATTCAAAAAGCAAAGTTTGTGAAATTAACACAGTCACGGAGAGCGCGGCGTCGCAGACTCACAAACTCTACTGTATAGACTTTTTCGTGATATGACTAAAATAATATTTTATATCGACAGAAAGAATTCTCCGATATCCATTTTTTTATTGTAATCCATTTATCTGGACAATGTTTGAGGTGAGGGCACGATTATAGTTTTTAGTAGCTTTGCGATATTGTCCGCATATATGTTTGAAGTGAGGGCACAATTACTAACATTGTCCAGATAAATGAATTACAATGAAAGAAATGGATATCAGAGATTTCTTCCTGCCAATATAAAACATTATCTTAGCCGCATCATGAAAAAGTCTATAAAAGTAGAATTTGTGAGCCTACGACACCGCGCAATCCATGACTGTGTTAAATTCATAAACTTTGTTTTTTAGATTAAATGTCACTTTAATATTGGTATTTAATTTTTACAGTATTGTTATCTTATCGTGCGATCCGTGTGTTTTTAGTATAAATTGTTAATTATCCCATAGCAACGCACGGACACGCTACCTAGTTATTAAAAAAACTAAAACGTCTTATAATTTAGAACGGAGTATATAAAAGTAAAAACGCAGGGATAAACAGGAGTGGAGGTTAGAGTTCAGGTCTCAAAGCTTGTGAATTACTGCCAAACATCCGTGCAAGTCATCTTTTGCTCTCCCCACACTAAAGCTAACAGTCTGTGAGAATGACAGCAAAGATTGACTGTTCTCACAGCCTAAGCAGACGCTGAAGGAATATCGCAAGCTGACAAGCAGGCGTCAAGGTCGCAAGTATTTCAGCTTCACTGAAATTGCCAGTGGGCAGTTTGATGAAGAGATAACCATGACTCGTGCTAGACAGCGACTTGTATTTACTCTGTCAGTTCAGCCAAACATCAGATCAGATCCTACGAACAGTAGCAGACGATTCACGCATCTTTCAGAATACCGATTCACACGGCTTCTCGTTTTTGGGCTACATGGGTGTGGCTGCCAGGACGGATCTTCCAAAAGGGAGAAACAGGTCCACCATGGAGTCATACTCCTCTCTGCTAACCTGAGCAGCATTCAACATCTGCATCGCACATCATTGATGGGGGAAACAAATCAGATGTCACCAAAGCAAAATAAGATACATTCTTCAACTAAGCACAAAAAACGTCAGTGATAAGTGAAATTGGTTACTCACCTTTTGCACAAGCTTTGAATTTGAAAAGACTGGAGCAAGGGCAGGAAGCTGGTGAACAGAGAGCGCATCAAGCATTACCAGAACCACAGCCTGCCACTGCCTTGATCGCAGAGAAGGCAGGGCGTCAACAAACGACATTGTGTCAATCAAGTAGCCCTGGTGGCAAAGCAAAGCTCACATTAGATAATCCAAAAGCAAGCACATACAGTGTAGTTTCATGTGTTAAGACCAATATAACTGTCAGCCACCAGCATCGAGCTAACCTATCAGTCTAATTTTGAAAGGCTATGATATTAGCAGCATCAAGCATACCAGAGTAATCTCCAATTTTGAAACCGGGATCTGCAACCTCAAGTTTGATACGAGTACTGGCACAGCGTTACAAACGCAAGAATCTAGAGCTCTTCTAATCTCCGATGAGAGCCCATCCTTCAGAACTATCTTCTCAGGATATTCCCTCCCATTGGCAATCAACAACTCTTCCACTGAACCCCTTTCAAGTCCATACACATAGGCCAAAGACGACCTGGATATCCATCCGAATAGTGCAGCCCACATTGTTCCGAAAGCAGACAGCTGAAAAGAAATGTACATTATGCCGAGACAGGATTAAAACAAGCAAAACTGGTATTTCTTCTTTTTTCCTTCTTAATAATACTTACAGTTAGACTAAAACCTTCTGGAGGCATGTCATGCCAAGAATCATCAACTTCAAACATGTCTGTATCCAGAAGTACAGGTTTCTTAGGCCACTTGATAACATCCCTATCTATCTCAGGGTCATCATCTCCGGCAGTGTTTTTGGCATTGTCATATTCTTTCTGGTTAAGCACGTCAGGCAGAATGATGATTCCAGCCTTTGAAACTGACGTTAGAGAGGCTTGCGTGAGTACCAATCAATAACAAAAGTTGTGTGCCTCAAAGAATAGCAACCGTGGGAATATAATGAATACATGCTCACCTGCATCTTCTGCTTCTACTGTGCCTGAAGAAATAGCTTCTGCTGCCTCAATAAGTGCTGCAGCACATGCCTCTGCAGATGCACGCCTTAGTGAACTGTCTATGACATCCTCGGGTTGTTTTATGCTACTTGAAGGGCTTTCATATGCTTTGCTTGTTTCTAGGACACTTCCATTCTCATCTGCCCATGTAACAGACTGTCTACCGCTGTTAGACCCAGTAACTTTCAACGAAGACTTCAATGCAGGCCTCATCTTTTCATCAGTTGTCTCATCATTTCCAATGTTCATTGCTTCACTGAATTCTTCGCACAGTTGTTCAGCATAAGCTTGCGTTGAATCTTTTGCTGAAGATTGAGATGATGAGGGATGATTGTCTACCAATACAGAACTTGACAAGTAGTTATACTGATTCATAGCACTTTCCTCCCTGTTTGTCGAAGCATCCCCAATAATGATGGTACTCGTAAAGTCCACCTCATGGCCATCGCTTCCAGCAGGCCTTTTTCTAGACTTACTCTTCTGTGTCCTCGATGATGCTTTACTCGCTTTATTTTTCTTACTGCCTTTTCTCTCTTCCAAAACTACATCCTCGAGCTGCTTTGCAATGGAATCAGATATGCAAGATGACAGCATCCTGTTATCTTCCTCTTGCTCCAACATCTTTGATGGGGTTTTATTTTTCTTCTTTCTAGGTGTGGTATTCTCACCAAGAACCAGGTCACCCATTCTCTCAGCTATTACTTCGGCGCTCATGTGTGTTTCAACCAATGAAGGTGAACTTGTCATGCCATCTTCACCAGGAGCAGCAGTCCTAGAATCCACAATTTCAGTTCTGGACAGCTCAGGTCCAGCAACTTTGTTCTGCTGAGGCTGTGGCTTTTGCCCTGAAAACAGAACATAAGCTCACTGTATCTTCAATTGTTCGAAATTTAAGACAGGTCGAACAAAGGAATAGATGATCTTTCATGTACAGAAATGTGCCTGCAAGTAAAACTACCGTTACACTGGTAAACATTGTTACTTACACCAGTGACTAGAAAATTAGTGTGTGAAATCTATATCAACCCAAAGATGCTTGCTGAACCCAGATTAAGTTTTAGTGTGCAAGTTTGCTAAGAAAAATAATACAACACTCTTAAGAAATGGAGTAGGAGTTTTGATTGATAAGAGCCTCAAGAATAGTGTGGTGAGAGTGAGAAGGCAAGGAGATAGGATTATCTTAGTTAAGCTTGTCATTGGTGATATGGTCTTGAACGTAATTAGTGCGTATGCCCCCCAAGTAGGCCTCGACGAGAGTGCTAAGAGACAGTTCTGGGACGACTTAGATGGCCTGATTAGAGCTGTACCTAGTAGTGAGAAGCTTTTAATAGGAGGAGATCTTAATGGGCATGTAGGTACTACAAACACAGGTTTCGAGGCAGTTCATGGAGGTTTTGGGTATGGTAGTAGGAATCAGGAGGGGGAGGAAGTTCTGGACTTTGCGGTAGCTTTTGACTTGATGATAGCCAACACTTTCTTTAGAAAGAGAGAATCTCATCTAGTGACCTTTAGTAGCGGACAACACTCTAGCCATATTGACTTTGTCCTCGCAAGAAGAAAGGACAAACGAGCATGCTTGGATTGCAAGGTGATACCAGGGGAGTGTGTTGTCACTCAACATAAGCTTTTGGTGGTAGACTTTCGTTTTCAGGTGCGTGCCCGTAGGGATAAACAAGCTAAGATTGAAAGAACAAAGTGGTGAAAACTGAAAGGGGAGACGTCAGAGGTATTCAGGGAAAAGGTTATCAAAGAGGGCTCTTGGAAGGAAGAAGACGACATAAACAACATGTGGGAGAAGATGGCAACCAACATTCGGAAGGTGGTCTCAGAGGTGTGTGGAGTAACCAAAGGAAGTGGAGGTGAGGCTAAAGATACTTGGTGGTGGAACGAGGAAGTCCAAAGAGCTATTAAGGAGAAGAAAGAATGCTATAGACGCGTGTACCATGACAGGAGTGTGGATAACATAGAGAAGTACAAGATGGCAAAGAAGACTGCAAAGCGAGCTGTAAGTGTGGCAAAGGGTAGAGCATACGAGGATCTTTACCAACATTTGGGTACGAAGGAAGGAGAGAAGGACATTTATAGGATGGCTAGGGTTCGTGAGAGAAAGACAAGGAACTTCAACCAAGTTAAGTGCATTAAGGATGAAAGGGAGCATCTCTTGGTGAAGGAGGATGAGATCCGACATCGATGGCAAGAGTATTTTGATAAACTGTTCAATGGTGAGAATACGGACACAACCTTTCAGTTGGATGACTCTTTTGATGACACCAATAGGCGCTTTATGCAGAGAATCCAAGAATCTAAGGTCAGAGAGGCGTTGAAAAGGATGAAAGGAGGTAAGGTGATGGGACCAGATGGTATCCCAATCGAGGTGTGGAGATGCCTCGGAGACATAGCTATAGTATGGCTAACCAAGCTGTTCAACCATATTTTTCGATCGAACAAGATGCCTGACGAGTGGAGGAGAAGTATATTGGTACTGATCTACAAGAATAAAGGGAATATTCAAAGTTGTACTAATTACCGGAGAATTAAGTTGATGAGCCATACTATGAAGCTATGGGAGAGAGTTATCAAGCATCGCTTGAGAGCAATAACGCGGGTCTCTATGAACCAATTTGGTTTCATGCCCGGAAGGTTAACAATAGAAGCCATTTTTTTTAATAAGACAAGTTATGGAGCGGTATAGGGAGAAGAAGAAGGACCTACACATGGTTTTTATCGATTTGGAGAAGGCTTATGATAAAATATCAAGGAATGTTATATGGTGGGCTTTGGACAAACATAAAGTCCCAACGAAGTACATCGGGCTCATTAAGGACATGTACAACAATGTTGTGACTAGTGTTCGAACAAGTGATGGAGACACGGATGACTTCCGATTAGGATAGGACTACATCAAGGGTCAGCTTTGAGCCCTTATCTGTTTGCTTTAGTGATGGATGAGGTCACAAGGGACATACAAGGGGACAATCCTTGATGTATGCTTTTCGCGGACGATGTAGTGCTAGTTGATGAAAGTCAGACAAGAGTGAATCAGAAACTGGAGTTATGGCGGGAGACTTTGGAGTCCAAAGGTTTTAGACTCAGTAGAACTAAAACTGAGTATATGAGATGTGACTTCGGCACTACTACTCGGGAGGAGGAAGATATTAGTTTGGAAGGTCAAGTAGTGCATAGGAAGGATATCTTTCGATATTTAGGATCAATGCTATAGAGAGACGGGGATATTGATGAAGATGTTAGCCATAGAATCAAAGCAGGGTGAATGAAGTGGCGCCAAGCATCTGGTGTCCTATGTGACAAAAGGGTACCACAGAAGCTAAAAGGCAAATTTTATAGGACGACGATTAGACCTGCTATGTTGTATGGTGCAGAATGTTAGCCTACGAAGAGACGACATGTTCAACAGATAAGTGTCGCGGAGATGCGTATGTTGCGTTGGATTTGCAGTCATACAAGAAGGGATCGAGTTCGGAACGATGATATACGTGATAGATTAGGGGTAGCACCAATTGAAGAAAAGCTTGTCCAACATCGGTTGAGATGGTTTGGACATGAGACCTCCAGAGGCACCGGTGCGTAATGGAATCCTAAGCCAGGATAGTAACGTGAAGAGAGGCAGAGGAAGACTGAAGTTGACTTGGATAGAGGCAATAAAAGGAGACTTGAAAGGATGTAATATACCTAAAGACTTAGCCTTAGATAGGAGTGTTTGGAAAACAGCTATTCATGTGCCTGAACCTTGATTGCTTCTGCTGGATTTCAACTCTAGCCTACCCCAACTTGTTTGGGACTTAAAGGCTTTGTTGTTGTTGTCGTTGTCGTCGTCGTCGTCGTCTTAAGCAAAGCTGAGGACCGTATAAATTGTCAGTGTGCTGCAAGGTGCAGGTTGAACTGCATCAGTAGCAAAGTTATGATGTGTAAATGCAGCAGTAGAGATACTAAGTCAAGGGTACTGACTAAAACTCCCAAGGGTGAAGTGACCTGCTCAATTTTTTCCTACTGTTTTGCAGATTTACAACATCTCCATTCAAAGGAATGGAGTAAGAGTCAGAAAATCCTTGACCAACAAGCTCAATTATTCTCTTTAACTTCTACTAGTTGATACACTTAAAACAAAACCACCTACATCTGCGGATTGCACGCGTCAAACACCATAGACGCAATCATATCGACAATATACAGGTAGCGTTGAGTTTGATTCCTTTCACCCGCATAGTTTTCATGTATATACGAAGAGGTTGATAACTAGAGGTACTGACAGGTTGCAAGTGAACTTACTAATTCCGACCACAGGTAAAGATTATTTGTATGTTAAAAGTAACAAGATCAACCTAGATTCGTATCTTATTTTGGAAACCAATCCAACCTTCCCAATTTATTCATGATCTATGGCAATATGTATAACCAAATACCTATGGCAAAATGTATCAGCTAAAGCAACATATCGCCATGCAATACTTCAGCATGCGCACAGGACAGTAATACCATCAAGCTGTTCTCGTCCTTCTCTCATTCAAATGAAGTATGGAACACAAACCTTGGGCACTGCGGTCACGGCGCGGCACATAACCCTCAATGGCATCGGAGGGCCCAATCCAGTCCTGCAGCGAGACCTCCCCAGCTCCGGCGACCTCCTTCTCCTTGATCTCCACCTTCCTTCCCTCGTCCTTGTTCCTCCCATCCACGCCCTGAAACCCTAACCCGCTCCCGTCCCCGACGGCGGCGGCGCCCTCGACGAGCGCGACGACCGCAGCGAGGCGGTCGAGCGGGACCCCGTAGGGCCGGTCGTGCGGGAGCGAGGCGGCCAGGGCCTTGGAGGCGACGAGGCAGCGCTCGGAGCAGAACTTGCGCGCCTCCTCGAGGTCGTAGACGCGGTGCTCGCTGAGGGCGATGTGGAAGCGGGGCCCCGTCGCGGAGGCGGCGGCGGAGGGGAGAGGGTTGGGGCACGCGGGGTTGCCGCATGCGTCCGCGATGGTGCGCTCGGTGACGACGTCGTCGTAGTCGGCGCGGGAGAGCAGCGCGGAGGCGGCCGCGTGGAGGAGCGCCTCGTTGGACGCCGCGGCGCCGTCGAGGAGCGCCATCTGGATGCGGAGCACCGCCGAGGCCACCGTCCGCGGCGCCTCCGCGGAGGCGGCGGCGCCGGTTGGGGAGCTCATCGCCGGAAGGTTCGCAGAAGGCGGCGAGGGGTTTGGGCGAGCTGGAGGAGCCTGGAAGAAGAAGAAGAAGATGCGTTTTGCGATTGCAGAGTTGAAGCGAAGCGGCAGCAGCGAGCGACTCGGGCTATTTGGGCTCGTGCTGGTAAGGCGGTTCTGGCGTTCTTGGGCTCGGTCTCTTTTTTTCTTGACAGGCTCGGCCTCTTTGTTAGGCTGCCCTGGTGGGCTTATGTAGTTTGGTGGCCCAAATCCTGGCCCACGTGCGTAAGTTGCACTAAGACGACAATGAGATTTGCATGGCCCAATTCAAACTCATAGCGCACGTGACCATGTGGGCTGCGGCCTGCTGCTGTGAACATGTGGGACTGTGGGAGGCGGGAGGCCAGCAGGGTGGCACCAACGTGGGCTTGATTTTCTTTGTGACATCTTTTACACGAGGCACTAACTTTTTGATCTGAGATCGTCTCGTGAACAAAAACTACGTTTGAATTTTTTTAATTTGAAATTTATATTTTGTAAATGATCTCGGATAGAGAAACTACCAAAATAAAAGTTGTCGATCTCAAAATGTTATGCAACTTTGTAATTGATAACTTTTTCAATTGAATTCGTTTATGGCCTCAAACAATCAATTTAAACTTGGTTTTAGATAATACATGGGGAAAGAAAATCCAATATAGACATAAGTAAGTGTGAAGTGCAGTGGTTGAGAAAGGTATGTGCGAGGGAGAGGTCACAGGTTTGAATCTTGCTGGCCGCGAAGCGCGTGATTTTCATGTGAAAAATGCCGTGACTTACTATTTTGGATAAAAAAATTGCAATTTTTTTGACCCAGATTCGATAATTTTTTGGAAACGGACCGCCCCTATGAATCATCTATTTGTAGCAACGCTTCCGGACGACCGGCAAAACAGCCTCTGTACTTATCAGCCACCCTTAAAAAGCCTGGGTGTAGTAGTGATTTGGGACGGATTTAAGGAGTAGTACTCTGGCCTGCTTGAGATACAAAAGAAGACAAAAGGGGTCCTGTAATGTAAAAGTTTTATTGTTTTTTTCCTATGCATGCGATCAACGTTTTTAAATTGAAAGGTCTCAGGATGATCTGGAAACTTCGCAGGGCGCCCTTAGAATGGATTGGGCAGCTAATTGGCGCTACGGTGCATGCCACACTGCACTGCACTCCAGAATGAACTCGGAACAAGTTGTGACCGACACTTGTGCCACGACAGCTCTTCCTGATTTGCCCAAGCTAGCTACCCAATCCTACCTTACTCCACCATGCAGCTGAGCATCTGTGCTGGCGTCAGTGAGTGTGAGTGCACGCCCACGCCCGGCCCCGCCTAGCCTTGGCGATTTTTTTTATTATTTTTAAACTGTTTTTAAAACTGACACTGTTTTATTTAATTTTTCAAAACTAACACTTTTGGACGCGTCTGTTTGCATAGCACGGTAAATTCACGCTGCCGTGTTATGCATGGCGGCACGGCATGGGGCGGTCAACGGCCGCAGCGACTGCTGACGTGGCAGGGCCGACGTGTCGTGCATCATGGCGCGGCGGTGCCGCGCCACCCATCATGGCACGACGAGGCTTTACTTACCCGTTGCGGCACTGGCTCCCTCCCTCTGTCTGTCTGCCCGACTCGAGGTGAGGCCGCTCGCTGCGCCCGCGCCATTGCCTCCCGGCTCCCCTACGGCCGGCCGCCGACTTTCCCTCCCTTGTCGGCCCCCTCCCTATCTTCCCCGAAGCTCCTCTTCGGCCTTGTCAAGTTAATGAAGCTCCTCATCGGTCTCCACGGTGGATCAAAGGATTTGAATGAGTAGTTAGGGTATGGAGAAAAATATGAATTCGTTAGAACATTGGATTGAAGGATTAGGAATAGAATTGCCAATGTTAAGGTTAATTGGTTAGTTAGAATTATGATTACCATGTATTCTAAGGTCAATTTTTATATGAATTTTGCTTGTTTGAGTTTGCATCTCAACTTTTATACGTGAATAAATATATGGACACACTGTTGATGTACCAAATTTTATTTTTTAGTGACCAAAGTATAGTTTTTATATAGTTTGCATGTTTACATCTAAGATAGAGTTTGCACAAAAGTGTAGGTTATATTTTATTTGTTGTATTACGAATGGTTCTCATTGACATTAATTTGTGATGTTTTGATTTTTGTTTGTTAAATTACAACCGTTTTGTTAGATGGAAGACATGTATCGGGAGGAGTTTTTGCGAAAATAGGGTTGTCCTAGAGAATTATACCCCGACGCGTCTAGCAAAGATGCCCTCATCCCTCCTGACCTCCTTATACCTAACTGTGACTGTGGTTTCCCGGACGACGTGTTTCAATCGAGACATCCAGACACAATGGCGCGTTGCTTCTACACATGCAGTTGTTTTAATATAAGTAATTATTTCCACTATTTTTTTCTTCATTTGTGTAAGTATGCTACTAATATTTTGTTGGAATCTTATTGTGTAGGCCCATGAGAGGTGCTTTTTTCAGTGCATCGACCGTGCAGACAAGTTTGACCCAATGTACCTCCTTTTTGACGATTGGTGGAGAGGGAGACATCCACGTGACCACTTCGAGCGGTGGGTTCCACCCCCCTAATCCCCCGCCAATGACGGCTAAGGAGAAGCACCTAGCCGTAGTTAGATGTCTCGAGTAACCTTCTCTGTGCGATTACGGAGATCGAGCTGTGATAAACCCTAAGAATACGTTGGAGTTTGTGTGTCCCAACAAGCACGAAGTAAGTGGAAAGTGTATCTGTTTAAATGTTTATCTCTATATGTGTGCATGTACTAATTTATTCTCTTGTAGCGTTATGGATTTGCGAAATGTCGTTTCAATGAGTGGCTCTACGGTCCTAAGAATCAATGGCCAGAGCCACCAAAAGTAAAGGAAAAGAAGAAAGAATGGTTAATTTACAAAGCATCTCCAGTCATGTGCGAATGTGTTGTTAAATCTAACTATGGTCTATTCCCTTCAGAGCTTGGAATAGGCCATTATTGCGGCCATATAGTTGACTATGATGAGGTTGGCTATTTTTTTGGTAAATATGAAATCGTATTTTGTTTCTTTTGCTAGGATATATATGATATAATTTTTTGTTTGAACAGAGCACTAGTAAATGCAGGTGGAAATGTTATGATGGTCAAACTAAGTTTTTGGATGAACTAAAGGGGAGGCAAGTAATTGCATGGAAGAGGGGATATGGACCTGACTACGTCAACCTATTCACTAAACATCACAAAAAGAAGATGCGTGAGTTTGCTAGACAACGCGGTATTCGTAACCCGATTGATGTTAGGCTTGACAAATAGAGGTTGGAGAGACGTAGGGCGTTAGAGGAGAGGGCAAGGAAGAAGGCAAAGGAGGAGACAAGAGTACAGATGTAGGTCTTGAATGACCATGCTGTTTCATTGTGTGCCAGTGAGTGCTTGAAAGCCTTTTTATTTTCGTTGCCTGATTTTAAATGTAATATAATCGCGTTGCTAACTGGTTGCATTTTATACATGAAGGGATTGGATGCGGCGAGTACCATGCCGCAGAGGTGGCCCGTGCAAGGTATAAGGAAAAGAAGTTAGATGAGCACAGAACGCGAGCTAGTCGCACCGTTCAATCTCCGATTGTGTTGGCTGATGATGGGGACGAGGATGAGGATGACACTGCCAGGTTGAGCGATCTTGTCGCTCTAGTGGAGGCGGGCTTGCAGAAGAAGGAGGCTGAGGAAGACACTGGTAGACTTAGCGAGCTTATTGCTCAAGCAGATACGGGCTTGCAGGTGGAGGAGAACTCGTTCTTCTCTCAGGCCGTAGAGGCCGCAGATGAAGCGAAGGCCACTTACTACAGGCGACAGACAGATCAGGGCAATGCAGGTGAGCCTAGCCACATGAGCCAGACAAAGGAGGACACATTCTTGACTCAGGCCGCAGAGGCCGCAGGTGAAGCAGAGGCAGCTTACTATAGGCGACAGGTAGATCAAGGCAATGCAGGTGAGCCTAGCCACAACAACAAGGTAGTGGTAGAGGACTGGTACTCAGACGACGAGTTGCTTACTCGGTATGTTTTTAGACTGAGGATTAGTAGAGGTGTGGTAGAGGATTGGTACAAGTGTGCTAGTTCAATGTTTTAGATTTGGTATTTGTATTGTAGTAGAACTTTCTCGGTGCTGCATTGTGTTTTATTTGAACTATTTATGTATTGTACCCATGTAACAAATACTGTTTAATTTTTGTAACAGACATTGTGTTATCTCATAAAACTTTCGCCATAAAAAATGGTATTACAATGCTGCAATTTGCATGTATTTGTTACGTTCTGGTATATAATGCTTTTGCTTTTCTCATTGTTACACATTTGGGTATTACTTTTGGGTCTTAGTTTGGTGCCCATCTTGTCCAAACATTATCTAGAAGACTGTACCAATCACTAATGACCTTGTGTTATGTCTATGCTCTGTTTTTTAAAAGATAAATAAAAAGTTGTTCTCACCATTGCAATTTTTCGAAACCCCCTAAATTATATGCATCAAAATCTTGCTGCTACTGATGCGCTCAGAAGGGAGTCTGGCCAGCGTCCAGCATGGGTTTGCCGCGCCACCGTCCATGGCGTGGCAAGGCTGATGCGCTAGCCGCCATGGCGCGGCAAGGCTGACGTGCCCCCAGCCATGGCGCGGCGGCAAATAGAACAAGGCACTTCTGTTATGTTCTCACATGAGCCAAGTTATTTCGTCGTGTCGGTTTAACGAATAGGTCAGCAGGAAGGTTAAGTGCACGAGACAATCAATACATAAGTTTAGCAATACTAACTTGTACACGTCCCAAGTTCATCGTAAGTTCGACAATACCTCTATTCGATATAAGTTTAGCAAGTCATAACTACGACACAAGTTCATCAATACATAAGTTCGACATTACTCGACATACTACATGTTCCATCAGTATATGGGTGTTTGAGTACAAGTGCATCATGTCATCCTAAAGAACTCCTACGACC